CCTCTACATTGCCAGTAAGAAAGTTGACCCACGGCAGATATCTCTTAATGTTTGCGTAGACACCGTATTTTAGAGCCCTGGCGCATCCCTTTCCCCAGGAGGTAGCACCGACTTGAATCCACTGCCGAGGGTTCACTGGGTTCTTACACACCAGTGGTCCGCCGGAGTCACCTTGACAGCTGTCTACACCCCCCTGACGCAACCCTGCGCAGATCATATTCTTAGTTATTTTCTCTCCGTATGATTGGTTGTGACTGCACGCTTCGCGATCCACTATAGGTACCTTTGCCTGCATGAGAGCAGCGGAGGATTTACCACCTTCCTGAGTGGTACCCCAGCCGGTAATTGTACATTCTGTTCCGGGGGGAAACTGATACTCAGGCTCGGGTAGACAGATCGTGTTCACGCGACCATTGAGTGTGGCAGGTCGGTCGAGGCGTATCATTGCCAGGTCGTTATCAGTTGTGTGGTGATCCCATTTTGGATGAATGTAGAGATCTTGAATTGCGAAATCCTGCTCTGTTCCCTCGGTCTTATTCAAGAAGTGCTCGCCTGTCGTTACAAACATACAGTGGGGATTTGATTACGGGTACTACTTTTCAATTTTAGTTTACATGCTTCATGAGCTACCCTCTCTACCTAAAACTAACATGAAGAGCGTTGGCTCTGGAAACGTCGCTGCTTTGAAACTAGAAAATTTCACTCGTATACTCTATACCGTACTCGTAGTTCAATCTAAAGGTCTCTAACATAAGCCGGCAAATAATCACTGCCGGGAAGTGTTATGGGTTTTTAGTCTTAGTATATGTTGAAGTTTTTATCTAGCGTTAATGATTTCAGGGTAATTTCAGTTGCGCTCAATCAATCAATCAATCAATCAATCAATCANACCATTGAGTGTGGCAGGTCGGTCGAGGCGTATCATTGCCAGGTCGTTATCAGTTGTGTGGTGATCCCATTTTGGATGAATGTAGAGATCTTGAATTGCGAAATCCTGCTCTGTTCCCTCTGTCTTATTCAAGAAGTGCTCCCCTGTGGTTACAAACATACAGTGGGGATTTGATTACGGATACTACTTTTCAATTTTAGTTTGCATGCTTCATGAGCTACCCTCTCTACCTAAAACTAACATGAAGAGCGATGGCTCTGGAAACGTCGCTGCTTTGAAACTAGAACATTTCACTCGTATACTCAATACCGTACTCGTAGTTCATTCTAAAGGTCTCTAACATAAGCCGGCAAATAATCACTGCTGAGAAGTGTTAATTATGGGTTTTTAGTCTTAGTATATGTTGAACTTTTTATCTAGCGTTAATGATTTCAGGGTAATTTCAGTTGTGTTCAATCATTCAATCAATCAATCAATCAGTCAATCAACCTTTATTTTAAAACGATAGTTTTCAAAGCCAAAAGGCTTGTGGGGTCGTTTAACAAAGATCTAATGTGCTAATGGACTGGTCAAAATTTACAATTTATCTGAAACCTAAAATATATTCAATAGCTACTAAATTTAACTAAACTTCATGCGGATTACTATATTTTGAGGGTCAATCTTATAAGTGTTACGAATAAATTAAATCTTCTGATCTGAAAGTGCATGTAG